TCGGCAACCACATTCTGAATGAAATGAATGGCAAACACTCCTAACATTGTTTACAAAAGTATTATTCAGAGAATTATAGCATAATTACATAAAATACCCCTGCATATACACAGATGGGACAGTGATAGATGGAAAAAAATGTTGTGCCATCATCTTTGAAGATCAAGAACTTCTCTTCAAATTGCCAGATTCGACTTCAATATTTTCGCTATAGATAAAGCCATAGATCACCAATTCGGAACTAAACAGAGCCATAATTTTTATTGATTCCAAATAAACTTTAGATGCATTAAAGAACCATGTGAGCAAATATTCAAGAATACAAGTAATACAAAGAAAACTGAATTTGATGGAAAGTAATATCAAAATATTCTTGGCATGGGTCCCGGCTCTTCAAGGGGAAATGAAAGGAAGTGAAGGCTCTTCAAGGAAATGAAAAAGAAAACTGCATCTGCCAAAAATGGAACGTAATCTGGGAAAGCTCAAGGTCAAAACTGCACTTGGTCCGTAATAATGTGTGGGAGTATCTTCCATACATCAAGAACCGGAAGATTCAATGTATATTGATCAGACTAAGAATAGGACACTCGAACATGACGCACTAGTGAACAGATGCCCTAAATGTGGAACTGCAATCTTTATTTCCACTTAAAAATTGTAGTGATTACCAATGTGAAAGAACTGGATTGCCAGAGAACATCAAGAACTGTTTGGACGACATTGACAGTGTGTATGATGTTATGAACTTTTTACAATGAATTGGAGTGCTAAACTCCATATAAGAAATAGTTGTAAGTCACTTTTGATGTTTGTAACAGTATAATGTAATGCAAGTCGCTGACCCAGCAAGTCCATGACCCAGCAGTCTATGCTACTATAAATAAATAAAAATGTTCTTAATGACGAAGAGGAGGACAATATTTCGCATATAGAAAGTCTTGTTGAGAAAGAGTTTTCTTGTTGAGAGTAGTTAAATATTATTGATTTTGTTTAAGAATTTAATTCCCTTGTATTCAAATTCTTGACAAAGATATTCGGCAAAAATATAATACAAATACGAATATATACATTTTTAATTAGATACAATTTAGACGTGAAATGATGATATGCGTGTCACTAAAGGGGTTGCCAAATTTTATCAATATTTTAAGATGAACACACATGATTTATACAACTGAAGACATTTTTGAAGTGTCAACATTCATTGAATTGTTGGTATCATTAATCTATAATTTCATACCTAATAATATTACTATGATTCATATAAACAAATTGAAGTTACTTATACCCTTGAACGTATACTTCGGATTCAATTCTTTCATTTATCCATTTGCATTTATTTACTTACTGAGCATTCCTGCGCCGCTCTTCATTGAATACTGACACTATTATGTTCTTTATAGTCCTATTTCATAACGTACTTCTTGGGCAGTCTCATTCAACTCTGTAGAATTTATTTCTAGTTTTCTTTTCATAGTTATAATACAGGATTCGTTACGGAGCTTTTTGAAATATAGAGATATAGACTACAAGTACATTTTCTGACTTCAAAGATAAAAACAGACGATTGTTACATGTTTTATTATTAGATAAGATAAAGTATAATTTTTCGATATTCTTTTAAGTTACATCGATGCTTACCAAACGCAGAATATATATTTTATACCAACAATAAATTTTACTTTTTTATTGCAAAAACAAAAATTGAGAAGTAGTATTATAAATGTAGTTGTCAATTGGAAGCTTTCAAGATAACCGAGGGTTAACAACTGTAGAACTATCATGTATCTTCTTTCCCATTTCGACAGGAATTCTCGAAGTAGTTTTACGATCGTGTATCATCGAACAAAAACCAAAAAAAGTCGTGATCGTCGACCGCAGACGTATACTCAAGCCCCTAGGGTGTCCGAAGCTAGTACGGCACGCGTTCAGTATGGAGGACATCGACCCGCGCCCTCGCCGACGTCGCTTGCACGACCGTGCGCGTCGGTGTCCGGCGACAACAAAACACGGGCGGGCGCGCGCCGGGGCAGGCTCCCGGCATCAATAGCGCTGCGGCCCGGCGATGCCCCCGAGGCCCGCGATTAATGACACGCGCCGCCCGCGCGCGCCGCCGCTTGGCTCGCCCGCCCCCGCGCGCCGCGTCGCGCTCGCCCGCGGCCGCCTGGCGGAGTCTATTTGTCACGAGCGTCGTGTTCCATCGCCCATCGCCGCACGCGGGCGCTGCGGCCGGTTGCGGAGTTATTAAACATCATTTAGATGCAAATCGCGTAAAAACGCAAATGTTTCGCAACGGGAATTTGTGTTTCTGTTTATGGGAATGCACGGCAATTGGATTCGTAGTAATTACTATAGCTGAGTGAAATCATTATCATATTACGTCCATTTTTTGCGAAAAATTGTGTTAGTAAGTAATCTTGTAATAATTTCATGAAGATGATTATTATGCTTCGAAATATATCCAATAGATAAGGTTTAATTCGAAAGTGTTCAAATTTAAATTAATATGTAGATCAAATACAATTTTGCTGTGTTATTTGTAGGGAGTAAAATCTTTAAGCTGCGGCTTAAGTGTAAATTTTATTATGTTACAAGTGCAGGAAAATTATTACATATGAATACTTAAGAAAAAGTGTTTCCTTATTAATACAAAATATCTCACGAAATTCGGCTAAAGTATCTTCGAACTTTTGTTTTAATCTCTTGCTCCTGCGTTAAAGTTATGAGCGTCGTATTCTGTTATGCAGCGTAGCGTCCTTAGCGGTCTCTGAGGTACGTTACTGCGTAGGTCTGTAGAGCAGGGTCCGAAAAAAAATATTTTACCCAATATCGAATGATGGGATGATTATGGAGTATCGAATACTGGGATGATTTCAAAACAAATTTTATTCGTATTTCTTGTGATAGTACTAAGAATTATATATGCTTATACTAAGAAGCAAATATATTCAGGATATGTAATTTGTAATGCAAGATTAATTTAAGGAAACTCTTAATTATTTTACCATGCATTAAGCGCTTTGTAGTTAAGCATAAAAATACTACTCCGTAAAATTTCAATTCTGACATTTATAAAAGTTGTATGATGCATAAAATTGTATGTGGAAACTAGAACATCATGTGTCTTAATATATATATATATATATATATATATATATATATATATATAACATTAGTATCCTTAATGTTGCGAACTACATATTTTTGATAATTAATTAATCTGATAGTTAACGAATGTATCTGATAATATACGTAAATATGTTCGAAATTTCAAAAAAATATTGTTTGAGTAAATACTAACCTTAATGTCTATTTTTATTCAAAAATTTTTTTTCTGTAATTTCAGTACGTTTGCGTGAGTTTTGGTTATAAGTGATCAGTTAAATTATTATTGTAGAGGCATGTAAAATTAACGTTTCAAAACTCTAAAGGAATAGACATTTTCCAGTTCCATATAAGGAAATGTATTCAATGTTTGAATATATGTTTGTATATATGCAATGCGTGCATGTACTGTAAGGAATGCAAGTGTTCGAACTCACTGTTGGTGACGCATCTCTCTCTGTCTCTGTCACTGTCTATCTCTCTCTCCTCTCTCTCCTCTCCTCTCTCTCTCTCTTTCTCTCTCTCTCTCTCTCTCTCTCTCTCTCTCTCTCTCTCTCTCAAGTAAACTTATCACTGGGGCTGTATTTCATTGCAAACGGCCCAGACCGCAGCGATCCGTGCGGATCGAGATTGCGGCATCCTGCGGCGAGTTAACAGATCGCCCAACTCCGACCGCACGGCCGCCTGTCGATCAGGCGCGGCCCTTCGTTAATCTGAGTTTCGAAAGCAAGTCGATTAGTCGTAGCATATCGTTTATACTCGAGTATACTCTATTTATGCAAGTAAATGATCGCACAGTTGTTGAATGAAGCTCAAATTAAACACGGGAAAGAATAATTATAACTAGGTACAGTGGGCTCTGTATAATCAGGCCGTGCGTTGTGTCCATCTGCCGTCCGTCCAGTAATAAGGCATCTTGAGTGCGAGTGTTCCGTTGCAAACAACACACTGTGCGTTGCGACTTCCTTGCTTTCGAGTGAATGATCAAAAAATAGTGTAGTATCATGTTACGAAAATGAAAAGTGGTGAAGATAACATTCAGTGCGAAGTAAGACATTTTTATAAATGTTTAAGAACATGTATTGCAATCAAAATTTGCAATGCAATCTCATATCTCACGTTTACAAATTTGAATGCTCAATCATTCACTTCAGAAAGCATAACAAAGAAAATATTGAATCGTTTTTTTCAAAAGTAGTGAGTTACTTTTAATCTTGTAACAAATTACTGTACCTACTGTACGTAGATGAAACACCTTATTATCATTCTTTTCGTTAGTTCTACAACTCTTTTAGTGACTTCGCGCTACCTGGGATTTCGCAAATCCGACTTCAGCCACTTTCAAATTAGCACCAGGTACGCACGATTTTAGTGATCATTTATTTGGCTTAAATCAAAATGTTTAAGACAAAAATAAGTTTGTTTTCTACACAGCCGTTCTATGTACTACTTTAAGGAGAGATGTTTAACAAAAGGTTATCTGTCCAAATTTATCAGACATAGGTGATTATACATTATGATGCGTTTAGTTATAAGTATATTCTAACGTATCGTACATCATGTATGCCACAAAAATTTATTAGTATATAATTCACTGTAGGAATTATAAGAAACGACGATCATTATTCAAGCTGTACCTGTTATTCACAAATATTACTTACTGGCCGGAATTATTAGCCCAGAAAGAATAATTATAAAGTCCTGTGCTTCCGATCTATGATGCTTGTTTTATTTTGTCAAAGAGTGTAATAGAGTTCAGACCATGGAAAATATATTTAAGAGTATAATATATTGGCGTGAATTCTCCTATTCAGGCTGCTTTTATGACATTGCCTTTTCAACTGTTTTGTGTGGGATGTTTTATGGAATTATGACAAAATCGCGTGTGTCCACAGGGGCAGGAATTCACTCGAGGTGATATGTCTACTGCTCGCCTACAAGCTCAAGTACCCAAACAACTTCTTCCTCCTGAGAGGGAATCACGAATGTGCCAGCATCAACAGGTAATGTCATGTTATTTTGTGTGAGAGACACGGAACATTTATGTTTGAAACATCTCCCGTCGTGGGTTCATGGTCTTTTGAAGTTAAAACCGTTTAATTGGTTCTAAGTGGCAACCATTTGGCAATGTTAGATGAAAATGAACAATGATATTTGCTACAATTATCAAATGCGTTAATTCGCAATATGTACTACGTTTCATATTTCTGTCTGCTTCTAAGTTTTTAAAATTCTTTTAAAGAATGAAGCTAATCATTGAAACGTCGTAGTTTTCAAATAGACATAAATTTAAAATTAAATTAGAATTACTTATTTTACAATAGATAAATACGAATTACTCTGAATTATATTCATATGAGCAACAAAATAGGAATATTCAAAACTTGGAAATTGCGTGTAGAACTACTTATATTAAAAAATATTATGTTTCATACCCTACTTACTGGTTTTATTACTTACTTAATTAGTAACACGAACTTTTTAATTGGGATTGTGTTAATCTATGTTATTTTGTTACAGAGTGTACGGATTCTACGAAGAATGCAAACGACGGTATAGCATCAAATTATGGAAAACATTTACAGATCTTTTCAACTGTTTGCCTGTAGGTAAGTGGATACTTATGAGCACGAAACTGACCGTTTTCAAAACCTAAGATTTCGTGTAAGAAAAACTCGTTATATTCAAAATGTTGCGATTTTATACGCTACTTAAATTAGAAAAACTAAATTACTCTTACATATGCACACTGTTAATGTGTACATTTTGTCCCTGAGTTTCTAATCTTGAACTTAAGGACCAGTTCGTTACTAAGAAAGGCTTGAGATATCTCGAAAAGGTCGTATTCCGTTTGACCTATGGCCTTCCTTGTTTCAGCGGCCCTCGTGGAGGGCACAATTTTCTGCACGCATGGGGGCCTATCGCCTCAGTTGTCGGATTTGAACGAGGTGAGTGTACTACTCGGGTGACAACTACTTTAAGCTGCGATATCGATCCTCAACAAGATTTATTGCTCCAGTCAGTCGTTATTTCCTTTCTCATAAATGCAGACGTCACGAAAATGAATTCCAGTTTAAAAAGGTAGAAATGCATGCATGCTAACAACCTTCAGCCGTATCGCTTTGATGAATATAGAAGAAAGAATGTATGGTCCCTGAGTAACATTTTTGTCTCCTTTTATCAAAATTATGAGATGATAAATATTTTGTTGTTTTTATTTAATACTACGTGCAAAATAAATTATGAAAACCTGTTAAAAATTCAGTCTGTAAAACTTAGTCTCATTATTTATAAATAGAAAAGTGATACATTACTATTTTATTTATTATCAGAAAATTATACTTTGGAATATTCTTTACTTAAAAAAATCATTATGTAAGTAAAGTTGGATTTTATTACTTTTGATGTGCATTAAGTTTATAAATGTTGATAACGATTTGCAATAGGAAAGATTTGAAATAAACTACCTAGAAAATAATCTCGATTTTCCCCTAGGTAATTATTAGACTATTGGTCTATTGACCTTATAGAAAAGTTCTTTCGATGTGGTTGACAGATTTTGAGTTCCTGATTAGTCTCATATGTAAGTTAGAGTGCTGTATCAGAAATCAGTCTTACACATATAAGTTCTAGCTTGGTGTCTTCTAATTTTTATTTATCGAATATTTAAAGGGGAGTGTAAACAAACTGAGTTTCTTAGCACTGTGTAATATCAATAGATTTCGCTCTGAAATTTCTGCATATATTTTCTCCTTTGCTTTGTGCTATTTTTATGTCACTTTTAAATTGTTCTGTACTTTCGTGTATTAGATACATTCAAGCATTTTTAATATTCATTAGGTGTTGTAATATATCATTACGGCCCCAAAACATTCTTCCTCGGGCCAATTTTAGCCATGCGCAAACGAAGCAGACTCCCAGTTTTAGTGTTTGCAGACGTGGCAGGGGAGATCGCGTGTGTTCCGCCAGGGGGTTGCCTCTCCCGACGCCCCACTGCGCTCGATAACGACACTGCGGGACCCCTGCCTGCACCCGGCGCGGGCGGTGCGACGCGCTACGAGGGGGGGGCAGGCGGCGGGAGGCGGTCGAACGGGAATAACGACGGCCGGGAATGGCAGAGGGCGAGAGGGGAAGGAGCAGTCAGAGGAACTGAAGGAATGAAGATCTTTACAAGAAGGACTGAGGGAGGGAGAGGCAGACGTGGGGAGACGCCCGAATGGAAATAACAGTGGGTGGGAAGGAGATTGCGACAGAGGTTAAACAGTTACTGTATCGGATTCTTATAACCAGGTTTGCAGATTAAATACCGATCTACCCGTGAATTTTTAAGGGTGAAAAATCCTTCCTACACTTCCTTTCGGAAGGAAAGTGAAGCCGGATGTCTCATGCTGTAGATGCATTGCATGTAAAACATCCTCAAGCCTAAACAAGCATCTGAGATAAATTCAAAACAAAAAATCGACTGTTTCGTTGCGGTGTAGTTTTTTTCTTCTGATGAATGGCAAAAGGAACCTAGAGAAATTTGCGTTGTCAGGCGGAAGACTAGCTCTGATGACCCGAGTCTCGCTACGAAATACAAATCATTGAATTGAATTGAGAGGGAGGTTTCCAGGGAGATAAAGGGAGAAAAAGTGTTGGGGAAGGAAAAGACAGAGGAAGTGAAGGAATGCAAATGTTTAAGAAGAAAAGGGAGAAAAGAGGGGGTTTAGACAAAGCGATAAAGAGGAGAGGATGGTGGGGGACAGACGTTTAAAACGGTGTATGGCTGAAGTATATGCAACCGTTCAAACTTAGGATGCAGATATTCTTTCAATTTGTGCTACATTTGTGGTCCCTTTTTTGGCGTGCCAAAGTCGTAACGGTTTGACTTTATCAGGTTATGTAAATTTAAAATTATCTGAACTCCTTTTTATTTCATTATTTTCGTAACTAGCTTATAGGTACGGAAATAAAATTTATAATGGTTAAACGTAAAGCTAACTATGTGTTATGATGTTTTGACTGAAGTATACATTTCAATATACAAATATATTATTATTAAAGGAGAATATTTATATAGTTCACGACATTGTACCTTAAATGAACATACAGTCTACAGCTGACATTCAATTGAAATATAAAGCTTCCTCATCTCTTTCTTTTTACCCGACACCAATTAAAATGTATCTTACCAGTAATTTCATGAATCGTATACAAGATTACAAATGTCGAAGGAATATAAAGACAGAGCGTGATAAGTGTTTGTCAATTATGTGATGGAAATGTCATATAACAAAATTATAGAAGTAACATTTTCCCTTAATTCGTAACTAATTCATCTACCACTGGCGTTTGTCGATACACGAAAAGTCTTTGATAGGGCTAGAACATTATCTGCCAGATACCAGTGCAATTTTACTATCCTAAACATTTGAAGCAAATGTTACGTGTGTAACTTTTGTATGAAGTCTCCCAACACAAGTCTACCGGCAGAAAATATCATCTTCAATCCTCCTACAAGCACTATAAGTTTTTAACACTTGTCCTTGGTCATCCAACATAAGTATGTGCACACTTGATTACCCCACATATCTAGGTACCTACTAAAAAATTGTCATTCGACTATTGCTAGTCTCAGATCAAAATTTCTGGCACTCATAGCAATCTACCTTGAAAAAGCTTTTCTTTACCCGCGAAGGCTCATATTCATCCGTTTTCATCAATCTCAGAACAAAATTATAACAGTTTTTCTTATAAGCCGTCTTTTTAGTCACATTTTAAGGCCTCTCGGCCATGTTTTTTTTATTTGTCTGTTAGTTCATTTAATCTCAGGACATCCTTTACATTTCACTTATACTTTTGTTGGTAAACTAAACCCTTTTTTACACTAATGAAATTCGTTTCATTCATCATGTTTAGACTTAAATTGAATAAAATACAACATAAGCGATATGTCACAAGTATTACTTTACTTTAAGTATTTTCTCTGTAGGACCAATGAATTAAAGGATATAGTGCGGTTTCGTTTCATTAGCAAATTATATGTTTGACAAATTATTTTTCAAGCAATTAGTAAACATAATTCATAGTAAAATATATACCTCTAGTACATAAATAATTACTATTAGCTTTGTTCTTTGTGTACTTCTTGCTCATTATATTGTGTTTGAAGTAGGAACGAGAAGAGACATATTTTCTTCATCTGAATTTCTGTTCTCTACTTTCCTTTCATTAATTTCTGGTCAATATTACTGTTGCTAGTCAGTCGTCCAGTTAGTTTTTAATTAAATATTTCATTTGCAACACTGCATTTTACTCATTTCTAGAAGAGGAGACTTTTCTAGAAGAGGACACGTTTCTCTTCCTTACAGAAAAGTAAATATTTGTATACAACATTATACAAATTAAATGATTTCAAATCTTGCAGTGAGAAGTGAAAGAAAGAAAAGAGAAACAAAAGTTATATTTTTTTCAAACAAAAGTTGAAATGGGTGGCTGGATGAACCAGAGGAGATGAGTTTATCGACTGGCCAAAGTCGAGAAAGGAAAGTAACAACTAAGTTTCTCTTTGCGCAGATCCGAAACATCCCTCGGCCCATCGACGTGCCAGACTCAGGGCTGGTGTGCGACCTGCTGTGGTCCGACCCGGCTGAGGTAAGCACTCGACGAAGAAAGCACTTGTAAATTGTGTTAGGATTGTGAGGTTAGGTATTAGTTTTCATTTAAGAGTAGAGAATCACCCTCTCGTGGTAGTCGAAATATTCGCAAAAATATAGTACGAGATTTTATTAGCTGTACTTAATAAATTCGCATTAGCTAAACTTAGTAAACTCTTATTTTGTGGTTATAATAACTAAATATACTAGTTTCTATTGAAAGTACTTTTTGTAACTGTATTAGTTATGAATAATTATGGTTTGAAATTATGATATTTGTGATTCCCAAGTAATGGAAACCCTTAATTTTGTTCATCCTTGCAGACAAAAGGATTCAAATCGCATATTTCAAATTCAGGTCACTTCAGTAGAATTTGTGGCGGCCAAAGGTGATTCACATCAGTTTATTCAAGGTTCCATTGCGTGTCATTCCCTCGTAGCTTCTCCTTATACACATAATTACCATATTATTGATAATTTATTCCGATTTTTCCACTGTCTGGAAATCGTAATTAAGGGACATAGAGTGGAAATTTAATATATAAAATGTGAAGGAAAACAGTTTGAAACTTTCGAACATTTTGTCCCGTTTCGTAACATAACACATTATAATTGTTGTTTCGAATAATCATAGAGTTTGAATAATTGACGTGCAAATTATTGAGGAATTCAAGTTTTCGAGGAATTTGAGATTTCCAGAGATCGGAGATATTCGAGTTATTGAGGAAATCAGGTTTCGAGTAATTCAAGTTTCGAAAATTCGAGTTTCGAGACATTAAAGTTTCGAGATATTAAAGTTTCGAGATATTAAGGTTTCGAGATATTAAAGTTTCGAGACATTAAAGTTTCGAGACATTAAAGTTTCGAGATATTAAGGTTTCGAGACATTAAAGTTTCGAGACATTAAAGTCTCGAGACATTAAAGTTTCGAGACATTAAAGGTTCGAGACATTAAAGTCTCGAGATATTAAAGTTTCGAGACATTAAAGTTTCGAGACATTAAAGTTTCGAGACATTAAAGTTTCGAGACATTAAAGTTTCGAGACAAAAGTTTCGAGACAAAAGTTTCGAGACATAAAAGTTTCGAGACATAAAAGTTTCGAGACATTCAAGTTTTGAAACATTAAAGGTTCGAGACATCAAAGGTTCGAAACCTTAAAGTTTCGGGACATTCGCGTTTTGAAATACTAGAGTTCAGAGAAATTGGAGTTTTGAGAAATTGGAGCTATCGATATATCTGAGTTATCGAAGCGTGCTTGTCCCGAATGTGGTGTGCATGTGGGCTGTGCGTGCGGCGCAGGGCGTGAGCGGCTGGGCGCAGAACGACCGCGGCGTGAGCTTCGTGTTCGGGCGCGACGTGGTGCAGCGCTTCCTGCAGCGCCACGGCTGCTCGCTGATCGTGCGCGCGCACCAGGTGGTGGAGGACGGCTACCAGTTCTTCGCCGAGCGCTCCCTGCTCACGCTCTTCTCGGCGCCCAACTACTGCGGCGAGTTCGACAACGCCGGCGCCGTGCTGGGCGTCTCCGAGGACCTCACCTGCTGGTTCAGCGTGCTGCCGGTGAGCCCTCTTCTGCACGACGGAAACGAGATGCTTTCTTTAAAAAGATTTTTGGTTTACTATGCCATTTACTTCAAATCTAAATATTTTTCCTACAACTTGTAGCTAAGCTCAAGGCCTTGAAGTCATTTCTGCGACAAGTCACAAATTTTATTGGCGAATATTTAAATGCGAATAACGAATTTGTGAGTACATTATGGGACCGTTCTGATGTTATCAAAATCAACCAAGAAAGTTGATCATTTGCTTAACAATAAAGAAAGAACAAGTGGTGCGTAAGATATTTGTTTTGAAATGGCCGAACATACGAATATATGGTCGTATATGGTAATAAATACTCGTATATGGTGTAAAAGACATAAGTAAAGGAAGCGAAAGTGACAAAAGGTAAGTAAAATATTTTTTATAAAATGGTCGGCAATCGATGATAACTAAATGATGGCAGGGAGACGACTGTGTATAGACGAAGGATTAAACAACAGAATGCTTGAGACGTGATGATGCAATACTGAGGTGTAATGGGATGCAACTACCACTTTCATAATAAAACAAACGTATTTTAACAAAGTAGACAAACTAGTTACAAAAATATATTTACTAGGTTAAAAAGAGTAATAATATAGATGTGTGATGGCATTATATAATCGTTCTGATGATACTAAAACTTTCAATTTCAACGTAGAAAGACACACAATATGTGATCAAAAGTATCCGAACACATCCAAAATGAGGTTATGGTGTGGTCGTGTTTTTCATGGAGGGGGCTTGCACCCTTTGTTGTTTTGTGTGGCACTATCCCGGCACAGGCCTACGTTGATGTTTTAAACACCTTTTTGCTTCCCACTGTTGAAGAGCACTTCAGGGATGGCGATTGCATCCTTCAACTCGATCGAGCACCTGTTCATAATGCACGGTCTGTGGCGGAGTGGTTACACGACAATAACATCTCTGTAATGGACGACCTACACAGAGTCCTGACTTCAATCCAATCGAATACCCGTGGGATCTTTTTGGAACTCCGACTTCGTACCAGGCATCACCGACCTACATCGAAACCTCTATTCAGTGCAGCGCTCCGTGAAGAATGGGCTGCCATTACTGAAGAAACCTTCCAGCATCTGATTGAAATTACTCGTATACCTCCGAGAGTGGAAGCTGTCATCAAGACCTCGGGTGGGCCAACACCCTATTGAATTCCATTATTGTCGATGGAGGGCGTCACATTTTCAGCCACGTGTCCGGATACTTTTGATCATATAGTGTAAATTGCCCAAATTCGACATAGTTGCATCATCTCTACAACGGAATTGGACTTAATTGACTGGACTACTCGGTCAAAATAGTATTATTATAAGAAATGTTGTTACAAAACTTTATGAAAGTGTCGGCCATGACATTTGATACATATGTGATAATGACCATGCATATTCTCATGCAAGCTAAACCGAAAACACGAAAACCTCAATATTATCACTGCCAGTGGGTGGGTCTCCAGCAAATTAGGGTACCTAAAACACCAAACAGGCTGAGCTACCTTCCAAGGAACGCCCTGTCCCAAATTAGTCTGTAAATTCTATATACGAGATTTCTCTTCACTTATTCAGAGGCAAAAAGGTTTTAATCTATGACTTTGCCCTATCAGTTTTTAACATTTATTCCGAACCACCCAGTATAACGGGGAAGCAGGGGGAGCGAGAGGCGTTATGTGTTAACAATGAACTTTTTTCACGTTTATATGTTTAACTATTAAGTTAATTAAATTGAAGTAATAAGATTACAGGGGGTTAGTTATTAGTTTATATTTATATTCTATGGGATATCCTTTGGTATTTTCGTCCATTAATCAGCTCTTTTTGTACAAAAAATAAGTATTAAATCAAAGGAGATTAGTTGCTACTCGAACCAATAGTATCAATATATAACGGATGTGTATTAAAAGAAACAAATGTCAAAACGCTCTCTGATCGGATTCGGTAGAGTAGTTCATTATTTATGTACATTTCACAATATTATTTAAAGAATGCGCATATGCTTATTATAGAAGAGATCTGACTCTTCTGTAATACGTATGGCACGAACATGATCATTTGAGATTGCAATTAATATCTTAGAGAACAATAAATATTTTATTCCGTGAATTTCTTGAAATAATGTGTAATATTTTTATCCTCAAAGCAAACCAATAACGTTTTGGTGATTATATTATTAAGTACATTGCATTTTTAAAGAAATCATATTGATTCTGATAGTCATAACCGTCGTATTTTCTTTTTCTCAAAATGCAAATGTAAGACTATTGACCTACAAGTAAGAGGTATAAATATAAAACAGGATATAAAGCACGTGAAACACAAATGTTTCACTGACGCAGATTCAAATATGAAAACTCTAGAATAATCTGGTTCACAAGTGACGTCACTGAATGTCATTCTTTTGCGGCGATACCTCGAAGAGAAATTGCCAGCAGTGAAGAGTCTTATGCACTTCAAGCACGCAGGGCAATATATTAGGGAAAGGATCTTAATTAATTCTATCTCGTATTCTTCGCATCAGCATAAAAGTATTGCGTGTCCGTCATGATTCTGTTCTTAGTGTCCTTAATGTAATTTTGATGCAAGTGAAATGCTGCCGTAGAAAGCCGATGTTTTTGTTTTTCCCTCGCGCAATCAGGCAAAGACGGGCGGAGAGAAGGATAGCGTTGCTGAGAAGGGCGGAGTCCTAGAAAGTAATGTCAACACTTTTACCGCAGCCTTTGCTACTGCTTTCTTTTCAGCTAAAGGCTTTTAACCTGTTTTAGTTGCCCGAGAAAGAAAATTAGGCCTCTGAAGTCACATTGAGACCCTGCATAGAAAGCAAAATATTTTTTTGTAATGTAATTTTTATTTTCAAGCGTATTATTATGAAATTCTAACAAAATAGATGTATTTCAGAATTTTGATTCACCTAATTATTCATGTTGTAAAAGTAAGAATGAATATTTGCATCAAAATGTAAGCTACGTAAGCATTCATAAAAGTTGTAAGTACATTTACCATTCATTGTATTCTATTACATAATACTAATATTAATGATAATAATATTAATAATAATAGTAATAATAATAATAACAAATGTGGCCTATAGCATCCAAAATTCTGTTAAACAAAACAGGCCAAAAGGTTTCTTAGAAAGTAAATCTCAAATTATTCAAGAGCAAGAAATAAATTACTCGAGTAACTACAATAAATTAAATATTTTAATAAAAAAGCCTTTACGAATAATGCAATAACATTGTATAATACATATACAGTTTAACAGTTATTTACATGGCAATATCAAAATGTGGCTGTTTCATAACACCGTATAATAGCCATTACATAAACTAATATATAACTTTCTTAAACTAAGATATTTCTTGATTTTCGCAAACTTTATTTCTTATTCGGCTTTAAATTTTACACAAATGGGGTTATCATTTTGGGTCTTTGAGTCTTTGGGGTCAATTACAATTGAAGGTCTTGAGGAAAGCTGCTGGAGTTAAGCTACTCCAGGCGCAGCAATCCTATCGCTGTTTGTAAATGCTTATATCTCGATATTTGTCGAAATGCGTCTCGTCCTGTTTCTTTCCTGAGCCCTTCATAAAATACAAATGTAGCCTTACTTATAACCACGCTTTCACTAAAATCGTGATATCAAAATTTACGAATTGCGGAAGGCTCGCTGTGGCTGGCGCGACTCGTCTTCGCACTGCCCCAAGCCCTTCAATTCCAACGTGGCGGAGGTAGCGCCCGCCATCGGTTGCAGCGAGGCGCTGTGTGTCTGTTGCAGCCGGTGAAGAAGAAGATGTTCGTGCGCTACAAGTGAGCGGGCGCCGGCCTCCGCGCCGCCGCCCCGCGCATGCTGCCAACCGGAAGTTGAGGCGCCTCCCGCGCGCCGTCGCTTCCGCCGTCGCCGCCACCGCCATCGCCGCCGCCGCCGCCGCCGCCACCGCCGCCGCAGCCGCCGATGCCGACGGCGATCTAGGCTAGCTGTCTCTTTAGATTTGTAGCGGGGACTCGGAGCTCCGTCGTACACTGTAGCGTCTCGATACACTGGATACACGCGCGCGCGGAGGCGGGTTGCGCTGGCCTCGCGCGCGCCAAGGATTCGTTCCGAAAGGAGAACGAGCGCACGCGTTCGTTCGTTCATTTGTTTGTCGGTTGGTTGGTTGCGGAGACCTCGAGTGTGAAGGTCGATTACATCGCGGCTGTCCAGCTGCTACCTTAGTGTACAAAATCTGGGTGCCGAATTTACAGACATAAAGAAATATTGCAACTAAAACTTAACTGCCGAGTGCGTATTTTTTCCCTCTTCTTTCGTACTGTAACGTTGTTGTTTGTTGGAGAAGGCGTTGATTGGCTGTAGGAATACGAATGAACAAAAAGACAAGTCGGCGTCTGCGTCGATAAGGATGGAAGAACTTTTTTTTCGGGAGTAGTTTACGTGCCAAATTGATTGCAGCGATCTCGGCCAGCGGAAAGGGAAATGATTCGTTCATAAATTATACTTGTATTGGTATATTTATTCCCCCTTCTCAATGGATCGGGGTGCTATTGCGGTCTTGAAAATGCTTCCTGCGGGCTTTTCTATTTGGTGGTTTGTTTGTGGTAAAATACGGCTGCTGAGTGGCTATACGGTAGGGGTGGCGGACGGAAAAGGGTCCCTTCTCTGTCGATCTATCGAACGCGGGGCGAGATGCGGGAAGGAGAGCGGAGGAGGGTACGGGCGGCCACACCCTCATTTCGGTACGAGCGCTGTTCGCTCTTCGCTCTTTTCTTTCTTTCCCGCAGTTTTCTTACATCCAACCTTCGTCGATATTCCGTCAGACCAGCCCTCGTTCCGCTGCAGACAGATGGCCGAGTAGCTACTGAGTGTATTGTTTGTTTAAAATTCTTTACGCTTTTCGGCGAAGCAGAAAACGGGGGAAAGATGGAGTGCAGATGCCGACGTCCTGAAACGAGATCGATGAAACAAGTCCTTACGCCAACACGAAGAAAAATCTATTAAATGCGCTTGGTAACACCAATCTTTGTCCAAAGCCGTTTTCTCTTTCTCAATGCGAGAAACAAAGTACACAACTGTAATGCTGCTTTTGCGTCAACAGATTTAAGAGAAAGTTCTTTAAAGTAAATAATCACGCTATTTCAAGAAAATTTCGGAACTGCACTTCTGATGCCAAATGCACTTCTCACTACATTTTCGTAATTTTAATATTCACTTCTCCGTAGATAACCTGAATTCAGAATCTCAAACTGCAGTTCATATCATTACAACTTTCTGTCTTCTAATCTAATAAAATTTGAATAATAAAACATATCTATTTTTCCGCAAACATCGAACAACGTAAATTAAGGTATTATTGAGATCAGTCTGTCGGCGAGAAATATAAGTAATCCCTATTCATTAACTCAGGGTAAGTTAGTATTCTGAATTTCAAATTTTTTAAATAGTCACAATAATTAAATATACATACTATGATTTTAAATTTTAATAAAACATAGGTCAAATCGAAATAATTTTCCCCAAGGTTTGCCGTGTCCTCTGTACAAGTTACTATTCAGATGGTGTTAATGATACTATTGCAGTTTGATGGTCTGGATGTCTATTTGACTTGTTCCACACGTAAATAGATTATAGTTCAAACATTTTCATCATATGCACAATTGGCACACCCAAAACACGAAGCCCAGAAGCACGTTCCTAATACCAGGTACACTGGAGAGATGCTTAGCACGAATTACGTAGTAGTTCTCAGCTATTAGAATATGGACAGCAAAGCAAATCTATCGAGTCACTTGCATTGTTTACGTCACGTTCTAAATCATATGATGATCGCATTTTGCCTTAGATTACAGCTTATCATAGTGATATATTTTGGTTAGACTAGATATTGTGCATATACACAGTCCATTTTTAATAGCAATTTTTTACATTAAAGTTAAATAATTTCTTAAAATTTGCTAATGATTTTATTTTTATAAAGAAAGAATTCAAACTACGTTGAAATTTTATACTTTTCTGCGCAGTCAAGTGCCGGAAATGTACATCGACTGAGTGCTTGGTTAACGTATTTGAGCATCCTCTATTTGTAGCAGTTTGTAGATTGACTGATCTACCAATGAAAAATGGAATAAATGATGAACATTTTGTGAGTTCAGACACTAGTTTTCCAAATGCACGCGCTTTTATAAATATAACATTTGCAGAGGGAAACAAATATATTTAGATGAGGAACACTTACATGTACAAATTAAATTGATATTTCTTTTAATAGGACCAGTGAAAAACAAATTTCAGTGATCGAATAAAATGGCACTGTTTGCTGAAAATTATCTTTCACGAACATTTTTACATTAAATATAAGCACTTGGTAGAATATATCGCCATTGATGGAAGTTTTTCCAAGAAAGATTAGCATTTGAAGTTGACTTTATCATTTCTCTTTAATTGATCAAATCTAAGAATGCAGTACCGTTACGCAGGCTGAAAAATGAGTTGAGTTTCTTAATCATGAAAATTCTGTAACCAGGAAAGTATGCTGGATGATAATTTATCGTTTCAAATAGTAATTGATATATTACATCCATTTTGGAAACACTAGTAACAGAGAGCTATGATTTATCGAATTCACTTGAGAAGTTCTGACCTTTTTCAAAGAAACGTGCTTTGAAACAACCATGTTGAAAAATATCGCAATATAATTAAAATAATGATATTTCATCAAGTAACGTGTTAAATGTAAGTCAATGTAATTAATTTGTACAAGAAGTCATTCTTTCGTCGTAAAGGAATCAAAGAAATGGTTATATTTGCCTTGTGGATGCACCGTAACCCATATTGAAGTGTTTCCCTTTGCTTTGTCTTGCAATCTACTTACTGTATATAGTTTTCAAAATATTGAAATTATGAGGTCTGTAGAACAAGTGACCTAAGATTATTAAATATTTCGATATATTTAAATGAAATAAATTATTAAAGTAATTATTTTAAGGGAGGACAACCTACTTCTATTTGTAAATTTTCCATTTGTAAAAAATTAGACTCATATCGTTAAATTCTTGTACTCAAAATTAGACACTTTTAATGATAGATTACATATTATAGTAAACGAAGCAGGTGCTCCTCCCAGTTTGACATGCAGGAGGCGTGAAAGGCCCAATTTTGGATACTAACGATTATTGAACGACGCCAAACGGGAAAGGATATTTGTAATATATTTTGTAAGAACGTTTGATAATACTCTCGAAAAGGAATGGGCCGATGTTGTATTAAAAGAATTTCGGCATTTTGCCGGAAAATGTTACTCAACTAGCCTTAATGATACATATATCACGCTTGTTATATACTATGTACGTTTTGTCTAATATTTTTAAGAAAAATAAACATCCAATTTTGTTCAGAAAGTTCTGCAGTTATTTCAAACATTATGAATTGTTCCCCATTCCATTTATATCCAGAGTATATACAGTTGTTCATTAGAAAACAAATAATTTATACGTTTGATTCCAACTTCCAAGTCCTCTACCAGAGAAAACAAATTTTTAAAGGTTTGTTATAATAAAGTAAATATTCTGTCCATAATTGACAACTTTAAAACGCATACTACGATTGTAATGTAAGAGCATGAATGAAACTAAATTGTTCTGTATCTAGTTCTGTTAAGAATGGTCTCAATTGAGAGATAAATAAATTTGGTATTGTGTTCGTGTTTTATGTAGTGTAATTGATAACACATTTTCAAAACTTTAAATAAAATGTATCAACAAATATTATTTTGACAGCAACTTCACAAAAAAAGTTAATGCTCAGGCCTTGCCTGAGTTAGTTAATAGTGACTTTTTTCTAGATTTCCTTATTTGGATGCTGAAACGTATTCAAACTTGCCTAAAAAACCAAGTGAAACAACCTGAGTGTCCGGACCGCATATTAGCGTTGGTCATGACTTCCATTTGGAACGAGGCCCATTATTGGTTGGCATCTGGAAATGATCGAGCATGCAAATGCATAACTCTAAACCCGAGTTGAGACATGTGTAGAGTGTAGTCTTGTAGAGATGTTTAAAGCGCATAATTTTATTTGCAACAGATTAGTGACGTCTTCCTAACAAAAACAACTTAGGATGGCACTGTTGGCACTGACAAAATATTTTGTACGCCAAAATACTTTTTGTGGCAAAATTAGTTTTGTGCCGAAATATTCGTGCCAAAATACTGTTTTGTATTAAAATGCGCTTTGTGCCAAAATACTTGTTCAGTCAAAAAGCTTTTAGGAACAAGTTGACCCCTTATCTCTCGTTCATTGTTGATAACTCCGACCTTCAGCCTCAATGATTTCAATAAGAAACTTTGGGTTGGTGCAGCACATAGTCTCCATGGGATTTTTGGATTAAAATACTTTTGAGTCAGAGAGGCTTCGGACTTCGGGTTTCGGCTTCCGCGATTACAATAAAAAAAAGCTTCCCAAACGTCTTATTTCTAAGACAAATTTAAGCAAATCAATCGCAATAAAATTTCTATGAACTGAGAATCGAACCTGAGAATACGTCACCATCTGACAATGGAGCTACTTCACTCCACAACGTTACTCTGAGACAATACAAACCTAACACACCTGAGATCGTGACGTCAGACGTGGTAGATGGTAGGGGATAGACCAATAACGGGCAGTAATTTTCTTCACGATCCCAACGAAGGTAAGGAATAAGTGCGGACTCTCAGTACACCAACGAGCACGATTCGAGTGCCTAGCCATTGTCTGGAGTGTCTGTGTGTGCGTGAGTGTGTATATGTGTGTGAAGGACAACAAATGTGCTTGGACGAGGCAGTTCGTCAGCAACGGCGAAGTCCAACCCAGCACGAATGCAGGTCTACCGCCTCCCTCCAGCATCATGGCCATAGCGTGCGAAAGGGCAGGTATGGACGCATGTTTCTCCGTATAAGTTGTGTTGGATGAACAAAAAATAAACTTACAAAAATACATCTATTACCATTTTATATTACTTAGTATATCAAAACATTTATTGTATCAAAAAATACATAATATTTTTATTGAAAACATTATATTGTAAGTATTTACTTTATAAAATTAAGTATTTACTTTAGTTGTTTAGAAATATTTGTCAGTTGTTTTGAAATATTATCCTGGCGCAATTATCTAAGTTACCACCCGACTCGGCGCGATTCAAGAAAGGAGATTGATATTGACTTACAAACTAAAGAATATCTCTGGTCTCTGAATAGTAGAGTAAATGTAAGCAAGTACAGTAGTAGCACAATGTACAAGTACAGTTAAAATCACCTAACAGTTTATATTAAATTAATTAAATTTTCAGCATTGTTTGTCATATTTAATTTTTACAATAATTTTCTAATTCACTCACGAACCTACCATTTTTCGGAAACGCGCGTCATTTACATGAAAGTCCGTATTTCCAGTGTTTTGAACTTTTTGAAATGTTACGGAAATTAAACAGAAACTGTGTAAATCATCTCAGAATATTTTTGAAATTAATTCGACCTTCTACCAACGTGATTCCCAAACTAACGAGTCTTACCGAGTAGAATCCGCAATTCTACAGAGTAATGAATATCCCAGATACGCAGAAGGCTTATTTCACCCTGAAACCGCGAGCGAAATTTCGGGAATTCTACGCGTCAATGACGGCTTTCCGCGAAATTCAGTTAGCGAAGAGGCCACAGAATGCGACCTCGAAATAGCCCACGAGTATGCGCACACGCATTTGTGTTCCATGAAAGCATTGCCTTTAAAAAAAATTGTTACGAGTATTTCTGTTTCGCACACATGTATTTGGAGGATATTCAGTTTTACCCTAAAAATATTTGAGGCCTTCGTTGGTTAATAGAAATTTAATTACAGTTTTTTGTTTAGGTTTACATAGGTAATTAATTATTGCAAGGTTTCTATCCTACTTTCATTACGAAGCACGTATTTAAAACATACGGAAAGCCATCTTTTTACGTCCATGCACTTCGCTGTTCTACGAAAAGCACTCCGATGCAAAGTTCAAAGGGCTCTCTCTCTGACGCATGAGGAACGTGGGTGATAGGACGAAACCACTCCGTCAGGACGTAGGTCACCACCACGAAAGCCAGACCCAAAACCTAAGGCGGGAGGTCACGGTGGTTGAGAATCTTGTGACATAGTAACAAGGTAGAGTCTTATACATAAAGCAGTAAATTTACCTCTTTCAGTTATCGAAAGGTACATTTACTAAATAGCAAAAATAAGTTTAAACGTAATAGCAATCTAGCTCTATTACAAACACACTTTCTCGCACTGAATATCTCACCTTTCTTTTGAGTCGGGATTACTTTGAGGTTTTGCCGCCTACCTTTTCTGGCAATCAGTAATCACCACCAATGGGATCTTTTAAAAGTAGTTCTTATGTAATGAAACGTTTACTAATAATTAAAAATACGTACCTTACTATATATTGTCATGGTGTCTCGCGTACCGTCTTCGGTTTACCACGTAATCACCATCGGGTGTGGTTCGTTTCAACCTGTTTTTACTAATTATTGATGCCAGGGAGGGCGAAGTTATCGCTCAGCCGCGGCCACGAGCAAACGTGCTCCGCAGCTCCGCTAGTTATCCGAAGGCTCGCGCTTATCGCAAGAACTGACTGCACCGACCGCTACTGGTGCCGTTCCAGTGTCAGAAATAAGTGAATTTACTTGTGAACAGTGGTGAATCAAGAATATTTTCAACTTTTTTCATTCAAATTTACTTGTGAAACAGTGGTGACCGCTTTTATTTGTGAACAAAGGTGACTGCATTCTCTTGTGAACAGAGGTGTATCAAGAACAATTGCAAATCAATACCACCCAAGTATAGTGAAGTGAATAATGTTAACCAGCCACGTCCCCTTCGGGGGACTTATCACACAATCAGCAGAAATATTAAATAATCAAGAAGACAGTGAAGTATTCGTTAACAGCAGTACGACGCTGACAGCTGATCGACAATTTAGAATACATAGCCCTAACACAGAACCTTTAGCATCAGCATCAAGTGTTATTGCAAGAACATCAACAAATAAAACAATATTTACAACAGCTAGTGCAACAGAACTAACGTTTAAAATTCCAAGTGGAGCAACATCTGCGTGAAAAAGAAATCCCAGCTACCGTTTTGGAAGCCACGACAACTAACGGCCAAGCATCTACAACCCAGGAAACGGCCTCAACCTTGAGCAGCTCATGGCAAACAGTCCCACTGCATGGACAAAAAAGACGAAATGATGAAAACCCCATTGGACCCTCTAAGATGATTAACAGTGAAACTGACGCACTACCATCAAAAAACAAGTATGAGCGTCTTTCTGGTGATGAAAGTTTAGAAGTAACCACGAAATCCGCCTATTTTCATACCAGGCGTTAGTTATATCTGATATGATCAAATCAATTAAAGAAATCATTAAAGATGAAGACGTAACGTATAAACTAATCAAAACCTATCAAGATTAAGCCAAAATAACAATGAACAATGTCAAAATCTTACTTCAAACGCCGGATGTTTATCGAAAACTTGTTAAACATTTGAATCTGAAAAATATTGGTCATTATACATTTCAGTTAAAGCAAGAAAGAGCCTTTCGGGCAGTGTCAAAAATATGCACCCATTAGCAGACGAAATGGAGCTTAAAGAAGCTCTAGAAACACAAGGCCACAAGGTAAGACAGATTCATAATAAAAAGCATCGGTTAACAAAAGTTCCTCTATCAATGTTTTTTGTGGACTTAGAACCTCAAAGTAACAACAAAAATGTCTAAGACATCGAATATTGACTACATGCAAAAATAAGTTATGAGTCGTCGCGCAAAAAACGAGAAATAATACAATGCAAGCGATGTCAGTCCTTCGAGCTCAGTTTTCGTTACTACACGCTTCCTTGAACCTGTACCAAAACTAGAGACACTCCAGCTACATGTGCTCTTTGTAGCCGTGACCATCCAGCAAATTATAAAGGCTGCGAAGTGTATCAAAAGATTAGTAACGGCAAGTATCCTAGTGAAAGTCAATACAGTAGAAATTCTACGCGAAACAAAACTGACGGTAGCAATTCAAGTTCACCATGTAATCAAATCATAGAATTAGGTAGACAGCTCGCATATGCACAAAGGGCAATCATTCGCAAATCGATAATCAAAATGTAACGTATGAAAATAATCTGATATCCATAATACAAAAATCATTAAACAAATTCGAGTACATCTTAGCAAAGCAAGCTGAACAAATCTCCATCCTAATTAATATCATGACTGCAATAACGAAGAAAATATGAATAATTTACTGCGAGTTGTCTCCTGGAATACCAAATGAATGCTCCAACATCGAAGAGAGATCGAAGTGTTTCTACATCAAGAAAATATTGACATACTTGTATTATACGAATCACATTTTACAGAAAGACGCTATCTGCGTATACCTAACTACGACGTATATTGCACAAATCATCCAGATGGGACAGCTCATGGAGGCATAGCAGTAATAATTAAAACAAAGATCAGACATAATATGTACAAGATAATGGTAAAAAGTATCTGCAATTAACCTTTATACAAGTATACGATAATTTCGGTCCGCTCGTTATTTCAGCTATATATTCCCCCCAAAATACAAGATAACCACTGATCAGTACATGTCCAGACGATATCGACGATACTGTTGAATACTTAGTATAACACATTGAACAGGCAGCCGTATATGCAACATCAGAAATGAGTGTTTGATAAAAATAAATACACATCAGAAATACTGAAAATGATGAATGAGAAAAGATCGATAAAAATGACATGACAACGCACTCATCACCCGCACGACAAACAAATACTCAAGAGAATTTTCCGCCTCTGAACAAGAAAATAAAAATAATTACACTCGGAGGAAATGAACGAACAAATAGAAAAGCTGTCACCTTTAAAAGCTTCATATTACACCTTATGGAAAATTACTAAAAAATTAAAAAGGCCTACAAACCTGTTTCCCCTTTCCGTAAAACCGATGGAAGCTGGGTTACAACAAAGGAAGCAGAACTGAAATGTTGACAAATGAAATGGTTAATAGGAAGACAATCTTATTTAAGTCTAGAAAACAAAAATTTACTTTACAAAAAAATAATCAGACCCATCTGAACTTATGGAATTGAACTCTGGGAACAGCATCACATTCAAATTTAGAAATAATCCAAAGATTTCAATCCATATGTCTCAGACTATTAATAAATGCTCCCTCGTTTGTATCAAACGCCACTATACATAAAGATCTCACTATTACCACTGTTAAAGATGAAATCACTCTCAAATCTCTCAAATACCAACAGACTCAAAAATCATATTAATCATCTGGCCATAAACATCTTAGATAACAGCACAATGACAAGAAGACTGAAAAAGAGTGCATCCTCTTGTTCTGGACCACATATAAATAATTAAATTTTGTAACAAGTGTTACTGTAGATTTTTTGTCACAATGCTTGCACTATTGTAAGTTTGTTTTTGTGTTATTGTTATTACAATGTGATGTTTTTTGTTGTCTTTTTTCTCTCTGTTTTGGTCACCATTTTTAGAACTAATTTTTAGAAAGAACCAGAATTGGATTTTTTTACATGTCAATAATGTGTGTACAATTGTATTTACCGAATGTTCGAGTAGAACAAGTTGCGAATAAAGCAGCTGTTAAACTTTTTTTGAGGGCTCTCCGTCCGCTCCATATGGCTCACACACACATACACTCTCATTACATTTATCCTTTCTATTTACTAAGCACATGCTATGGATTGGAACTTTGCAATTTCTTAGGTGGAAATTATAAACGTTATTCCGATTGATAATTTCGGCCGTTTACTTCTCTAAATTTGAAGTTTTGATACATGTTATT